TTGGGCTTCTCTCACCAGTGACAGTGAACAATGCAGTGGTGGTGGGGGTCCAGTCTTCCAGAAGGGGGCCAGCAGTCCGTCCCTGGTAACAATCCTCTGCATAGTAGACAAATTGTGGAGCCAGGAACCTTCCTTTTACTTTATAACACACTCTCTTTGTCATCAGTTTACTTTTCAGCTTGTGTCACCTCCAGCTGTGATTCTTGATGAATTGGTCTGAAATTCTGCCTTTTTCCTCAAAACTTCAGTCCCCTCTCCCCCACCTTCCCATTTTGCCGCACTCTTCCTTCTCACACTGAAACCGGGTTAGGATGAAGAAACGCAGAAGAATGACGGGGGAGGGATTGACGGGAAGCCACAGTCGAAAAATGAAACAAAATGTTCTGGACTGCAGGTTGAAGCAAATGGCAGGAAATGAGCTTGGGCTCAGGCTGAAAATGCCCCTCAAGTTTACAAACTGCCCTTAAATGAAATTATATATATAAAAAAAATCCTTGAAAATAAAAAGAACATGTTAAATTACACATCAACAGTTTCAAAACTGTCAGATTTTAGGGGAAGCTTGTTAAGTTTTAGAAAAACTTTTTTTTTTATTAAACTGGCCCATGAATGCTTAAGGATGCCTAAGTGGAAGAAGTACTCAGATTGTTTACTTAAGCAAAAATAGCAATACCACAGTTTACTCTGTTACAAGTAAATGTCTTGTCTTCAAGATTGTCGCGGCCGCTGCCTCTCCTCTGCTCTCTCTATCATGTGGGCTCTGCACCTCAGCTGTGTTGCATTCCAGTAATTAGCAACTGGTTTGTCGATGCACACAGCTGGGGTGCATCCCGATGATTACCTTCGCCTCCTTATATAAACCTCTGGCAGACGCTCCGTCTTTGCCGGAACATTAACATAGTACCGCGGACTGTACATGTTGGTAGAATGCGACGCTGGCAGACACTGTGCGTTTTGGCTTGACTCTACCTACGAGCTACGCTAATTCCCACTACACTACATATTGTAATGACCCCTGGCGTGGAGGAGAGAGACTAGCTACACTGGTACAGCTAAACTAGCTAGCAGGGCGCTAGCACCTATGCTGATCTTGGTTAGCGATTATTCCAGGCCCCATACACCGCACGACTCTGGATATCGCCTAGGCGTGTCCTTTTACAATGACCACAATTCAACACTGCTTTCTCTGTCATTTATTTAGAACCACTGAACAATGGCACTTCCCCCAGGGTCAGTCTCACACATACAAGCCAAACGGACAGTCCAAAACACAGCACAGCAATTAACTTAGTAAAACATTGTCAGATAACACACCAGCATAAGTCAGCAACACTAACACATAACAACAATGGGGTAACACATAAGAACACTTTAACTATAATTTTATAACTGCTCTCTCTATTTACTGAACTCCCATGATGCACCTCTGCATCATGCAGCTGCCACCAGACCCCCCCCAATGACTGACGTGGATCGTCACAATATGATGAAATGTTAATAAATTGCATCACGTAATTTACATGTATCAGCAGCACATAGTCATCAAAATAGAAATTTCTTATAAATATATTTTACCTAACTGACAAGGATCACTCAGTTGCTTGGTGTCACTCAAATGCAGTTACACCGCAGGTTTTTGACCAGCGAATGTGTGCAATTTGTTCATTATTAAAACGACGACATCACATGTGCTGATGGTCACAAAACTCAAATGCATTATATGAACCTTTATAGACATACTAGTGTTTATTTCATAAAGACAACGTTGCACTTATTCAAACAACAAGATATTTTACCGTTACAAGACGAAGACGTTCATCTGTTTCTGGTTTCTGACTGCTGTGCTGAAAAACGTTGACTCGCTGCGCTCAGGGGGCGGAGTTGTGAAGTTTGACTGACAGCTTGAGCGGTTCTAAAAGATGCACTTTTTAATGCCTTTAATTGGCTAAATATTTGTTACCAATAGCATTGATTTATTAAAGAAAAAAAAAACGTCCCCAAAAAAGGGCACTTCGGAGTGTAATTACAAAAGGGCATGTGCTCTGCACAGGTTGAGCCCTACCTGTGCACGTGCCTGTATGCATGTACAGCATACACATACTTTGGTGTCAGCCAGCAATGGTATGCCTGCTGTGCAGACACAAATGTACATTTTCATTCATAAAATGTAAATGTGTGTATGTTTCTTATACCACATTCATCAGTATGGTTTCATCCACATCGCTGTGTGAATTCCATTCACTTCTAAATGGTAAGTTATGCATCAATTTTGAATTACATACAATATTATGCAACAGTGAATATAAATTCTGGACCAAAGTACATTGAAAATGTTTCCAAAGTGTGCTGCAACAAAAGAAGTGATAATACATAATGTGTAAAGAAAACATAAATTAGTAGGAGGAGGTCACAGCAGAGGTGAATATTGTTTAATTTATGAAGAAATGCATTCAGGAAGGTTAAAACAAACAAACAAAAAACACTAGTTTGATTTTAAAGTCCAGGTAGAGTAAAAATAAATGTGTTCTGAGTTTGTCACACCACAGGAAAATGCATTATTAACCAGCCAGCCAAATCTCAACGATTAAAAATATTGCCAATTAAATAAAATTAGCATTCAAAATCATGAAAAATAAGCAGTATTCTCTGCTCCTAAACACTGCAGCCGTGTCAAGTAAGAACACTGAAACCACACCCAATCGCAGAAATTGATCGTTTATTCTCATCATGGATGTATTAAGGGAGAACATGGCATTCAGCTGGTGTGTAGGTCCTGTGAGCTTTCAAGGAGCACCCTGTCTCCTGTTGCCTGATAAGGTAGGTCTAGATTCCACAGTAAACGCCCATTAAAAAGCTATTCCTTCAGGTCATTGTTTAACTACTCTTCTTGTAATATTAAATGTAGGGACAATTTTAATGATGACTAGACATTGTTTGTGGTGTCTTGCATATAGTTTGGTAAAGCTATGACATAATTGATTGTGAACTAATTATGGTTTGTGGTTGTAGGAGGGGCTTCCTGCATAATAGCCAGGAGCAGAAGCTCTTCAGGACAGTAGACTGGGGCAAGAGTACAATACAGGAGCAGTCCTGCAGTCCTGTACTAGTGCCCAACAGCCATGGGCCTAGCTTAGGTGTTTTTTCCTTTGTTAATGACTGAGTTACTTTATGTTCTTTTGAAAAGTTTTTATAAGGTTGTCTTCTTTTGTTAAGTTGTGCATACAGTATAGTTTTCCATATCCACATCAAGGTCAGCTGTTTTTTAATGAAACTAGACATAAATCCTGCGCCCGGTTAAGATAACTCCTGCTTTCATGTGTGTTTCCTCCATTGCTGGTCAAACCTTACACATGTAAACACACTGTGTAAAAACATTCACAGCAGTACACAATAAGTACTCATCGTAGTCAAAAGCAAATATACAATACATACACTTTGTGAAGATATTCACTTGCATGAACACACCCTTTCAGATGATGTCGCAGTATTTACCATAGACATTTAGCACACAATACATCAAAATAAATAGAAGCTGTAGGGAGGAGAAAGTAGAGAGAAACAAGCAGGAGAATCAGCATAATAGATGCAGTAGACTTGTAAAGGCATATAGCTTCTCCTTCTTAATGCACTTGAAATCCAATATACTCTGACCCCCCATCTCTGTCTCTACCTCAGGTTCTTTACCACTTTTCTCCTCCTGTAACCTCCTTATCACATTTTAAATGTATCCTTTCCTGTCCTTCCCTTCCACATTACTTCCTTAATCCACAAATCTCTTCCTTTTTCTCCTGTCCATCTCTCAGCCCTACCCTGACTCTTCCTTCCTTGTTCTGTCCTCCCATGAACTCATTCTCTTCCTCCCTACCTCCATCTTTCCATCCTTTGCACATGCAATGACCTAAGAATTATGGCCCAATACAAAATTGATGCTGAATAATGTGTATGATGGTCACATCTCAGGTTGTCTTCTCTGTGCTGCTCCCCCAAAACAGAAGCTTATAAACATACACAAACACATGGGCATACACGTGCACACACACACGGTCTCCTGTGGTCAACACAGAGCACTTTAGCTATCACTGTTGATTAGCCCGAGACCTGCAATGCACCTTTAAGTTCGCCAGGCCTTTTTAAGCCACAAGTCAGATGCACAGTCACACACACATCCATGAGCCCACATGAGCAAGCTTAAAATACACACAAAGTTGTGTGTAGTATTTTGTGCATAAGATACCAGCTTAGCTGTAGACATTTAATAAAATAGAACCATAGGTTGCATATAGACTTCTTTATACACCCTGGCATTTACTCATTTATGCACATCTGATGGAACAAATAATGTACACTCCTATTTCAATCAGTCCAGCTGTCTGCACATAGGGTGCACTACTTGTGTTCTGCTCACACTGTACACCTGTAAATGTGACCTGAAGCATATTTTTATGCTTCAGGTTTATTTTACCGCATTTTACGCACATAACCGCAGTGATTGTGTGTTGGGTTTTGAGTGTTTCCAAAATGCAGGTGACCTACAACTTAATACTGTGCCTGAACACCGCCTGTGTATACACAAACTGAGCACTAAAGCTGCTGTTCACTCGATGCCTCCTGTGTTGACAGTGTTAGACAAGTTTTATCCACAAAACACAATATGATTTGAAAGGGCATAAATAACAGCCACACACTTGTACATTCTATACTTCTACACTTCTGATGATATTAATATAAAATTTGATATATTTTTAAATACCCTCTATTGATGAAAGTGGCAAAAGCACGAAAAAGACAGATAATGCAAAAGACCATGGAGCCTACATTGCCAAGACTGAGGTTCAGTTTGCAGTACAGCAGACTGATTTAAACAGAACTTTTGGCAGCAAGGTGCAGTAGTTAGCATCGTTGCCTCACTGCAAGAAGGTTCTGCGCTTGAACCTCTCAGCTGACTGAATCCTTTGTGTGCATGGTCTCACAGTGCCTGTCTGGGTTTCCTCTGGTACTTTGTTCCTCTACATGATAAGCAAATGGATAGATGTGGAGCATAATTTGTTTTCCATGGGCTACCAAAGAAAGCTGAAGAATTAAATGTATATCTTAAATTATAGCTAGTATTTGTAGAAATACAGTTGCTAGGCATGTACACAAGATTCACACTAAGGCATCCTCTGTTAGCCAACTGTCCTCCCCGAGGAACTGAAAGGACAGCAGTTGGACAAACACTTTTCACTAATATCACATATTTATTGGCATGGAATGGTGCACAGTGGTAGCCAGTGATGGGTTCTGCACACGGCTTCCAGTGACCTCAAGTGTGGCGCCATGGAAGAGTACAATACAGTTTGCAAGTTGATTCTGATTGTTGCACCTGAGAACAAAAGTCAAAACAATATGCCTTTAACACTCAACAGCAATGTTCTGTGACCTAGTGATTTATGGCTAATCTGTTGTTAAGCAACATTTCTTTTCCTCAAAAACAGCACATGCAGTTGACAAGAAAATCTAGTAGGGCAGAAAGTTGACAAACTGACTTATTAAAATTCTAGACTGCATGGCTCTGTGCTTGATATTATGCATTCGTCAGCCATTGAGGCAGCTGAGCCCAATAATTAAGAATGTGTCCACAATATTTTGTAGTTTTCACATAGGCTCACTGAGGAGTATACAGAAAGGATTCTCCAATTGATCTTTTTCACAGGTGTGATCCACTGTGAATCCAAAAGGCTCATAGTAAAAACTGCATCTTCATTGTTAGAGGTATAGTTCATGTTAACTCTTGACCTTAGCAAAGCAACAACTGATTAATTTCACCATAAAGTCCATGTAATAGCTGCCCTAAAAGCCTTAGATTATATGACATGATTGTCATCAGCTGATGGAGTTTTTTTTCCAGTTGTCATGGAATTGTAGATATTTAAAGAAGTTGATTTTGTTCATTAACAATATCACAATATAACAACAATATCATTTTATATGATTAAAAGCCGGAGAACAGCCACTTAAAGATGTTTTATGACTTCTACAGATGTCAAAAATCCTCCTTGAATATACGAAACATTGATAGTGGCCAATGTTTAGATAAAATGAAGCCACCACTGTGTTTGTACATATGTTATCGGTTCATCTTTCTCATTTCTACATCTGGAACAGAAATCTTGATTGTCTCTCTGTTACTGTTCAGAAGAATTGACCTTTTGTATACACCTGCATTTGTGCTCCAATAAATTCTACTAGTTGTGGTCCTTTTTAGGAAATACTTCACTGTACACAGGTGGTGCAGCTGTTAAGTAGGTTTTCAGAAGAATACAATCATTAAACTGCCTGATGGTGTCCTGGGTTTGTCTTGCAGAATCCTAGCTGATCCTATTCATGTTTGCATGAATGTAATTTGAACATGTATAGGTATTGTGCTTGAGTTTGTTGCCTGTGGAAAGTGTTGGGGTGGATCAAAGGGGCCTTGAAATGTATTTTGGCTGGCCATGACAGATCAGTGGGCGATAGTCTACAAAGCCGCCCCTGAGGAACCCAATGTGTGACTCCACATATAGACTGAATGCAACCCCTTAATCCAGTATGTCACCACACACCCAGGCCCTTTACCTCCTGATGGAGAGATGACTTAAAGAGAAAGGGCCTCTCACTGCCCTCGCTCCCTGAAAGCAAAGTGAAGTGGAGACATAACCTTATAGGAAGCACCAGGTGAGATCAGATGGTGAGACAACAGGTCAGAGAAAGTGCAAGAGGAAGTAAGAAAAAGGAGGGAGAGAGAGTTTAAGAGAGGGAGAGAAGTGGGACAGAGAAGAGGCAGTGAGAGCAAACAGTGAGTGTAGACTGTAGTGTGGAGCATGGGGACTGAGAAGGATTAAGTGGTCATGCAGGGCTTCTGTGTGTGTGTCTAGTT